CTTTATTCTCATGTGTTGATTCAGCAGCGATATTGACAGAGGAACAAATAAGTGTTTATATTTGTTCTTTCTGCACTCTGGGACCCTATAGCGTCTCCCAGAGGGCAGGAGTTGATAGGCTGAGGTCTGCCTGTCAGGGGTTCCATTCGTGCCCTAGAGTCGGTTTCAGAGAAATTTCTGACATTCAAGACTATCTTTCTTCTAGCTATTTCGTCCCTCAAACGAGTCGGAGACCTTCAGGCCCTTTCGGTTTCTCCCACCTGCCTTGAGTTTGCACCCGGGATGGTCAAGGCATTATTATACCCTAAACAGGGATACGTCCCTAAGGTGCCGACCAATATTCCGAGGCCTATTGTGCTGCAGGCTTTCTGTCCTCCTCCATTTGCTTCTTCGGACCAGGAAAAACTGAATCTCTTGTGTCCAGTGCGAGCACTGGATACTTATGTCCACAGGGCTGCCCCGTGGAGAAAATCAGATCAGTTATTTGTCTGTTTTGGTTCACCTAAGAAGGGTCTTCCAGCCACTTCAGCAAGTGGATAGTTGAGGCTATCTCTCTTGCCTATGAGTCCTCTGGCCAGCCGTGCCCTTTGGTGGTCAGAGCTCAGTATGGAGTATGGCAGCCTCTAAAGCCTTATTATCAGGGGTTTCCCTTCAAGAGGTTTGTGATGCGGCAGGGTGGTCCTCGCCGCTCACATTTGGGAGGTTTTATAGCCTGGACCTGGACGCTGCCCCAGGGTCTCAGGTGCTTCATACTTAGATTGCCGACAGTTTTACATCAGGCAATTGTAAGTATGGCGTATTGGATATTCTCGTTCCCAAGGCGTCATCGACGCAGTGCGAGTTCCCTCGAAAGGGAACGTCTCAGGTTACGACTGTAACCCATCCGGTCAGACCGGATGTGCTTTTATCCTTTCCTGGTCGTGACGTCATCCGGCCATAACGCTCACTCTCGCCATTGGACTAGTTGACATATGTCCTTCAGACGCAATCACGCAGGGGCGTTCCCAAGGCGCCATCGACGCAGCATCTCGTTCTCTTTTCAGGGAAATGGAAGCTTTAGCGTTAAGTTCTGCCAGGAAGACTCAATTGCTACGTCACTTATTACCTTCTCATCTATCCAATCGTGTCTAATACTTGCGGTATAAAAGACCAGTACTTACACATGTCTGAGTTCGCAGATGCTGACGCTTTCATTCACCTCCATCCTCCCCACCACCACCAGGATGGTCCCTTCCCCTCCATCCTCCCCACCACCACCAGGATGGTCCCTTCCTATACCTCACAGGGGGTCGGCTGCGCCCCTGCCTTCGTCTTCAGGCAGGAAATGCAGAGTCCGGACCCTCGGATTGCGAGCTATGGACGGGGCCTACGCCAAAGAACTTTATTGCTTGCTGGGCTATCAATAAATGTATTTATTGTTACAGTATTTATTCTCCCGAGTCTTTCTGGTAGAACTAAGATTACAGTCTGAGACGTTTTACATGGTAAAAATTAAATTGTGTAGAATATCAGAGATAAGAAGTTTAAAAACAACAATGATAATTATATAAATTATATAAGTTCTGAGGGCAGATCAGAACAAGAGAACCCATGAGCACTAAATTAGTAACGTTTTTGTGCCAGTGATACCATCTTCACATTCATGGTGTCTCGGGGGGAGCTAGAGCAGAATGAAAGAAAAAAAAATCTATTCTTAATAAGCGACATATTAGATTGTCATCATTTACTTATTAGATTAAATGCTCAATTCATTTTACAATGTCTTTATGAAGCTTGAAAGTTTTGCTTGAATTGACTTTCAGTGGATGGACAGAAATCTCTCAGGTTTTCATCAAGTCTTATAGGTTTGGGATGACTTGAGGGTAAATAAATAATAACAGAATTTTCATTATAGGGTGAACTATGCCTTTAATCTTTATTAAACCTGCAACATTCCTTTATTATGTCTTCCGTTGTAGGCCTTTTCTTTTAGATACAAACTCCTAAAACAAGCTGAGTTGACTATTTTATTCTAAAATGTATTACTATTTAATGCTTATAAAAAGCCAAACTTAACTTTTGCTTAGTTTTAAGATCCATTAAACTTTTTAGAAGATATGTATGCTAGTTTCAAGAAATCATATAGCGTATAACTCATTAACAGATGCTAAACAGCTTAACACGCAGAGTAATAGGGAGTATAGTTGGATAGAAAAGAAACAAATCAACTGTCACGATTTGGTATTGTCTTGGTCACGTTTCATATCATTAGGCTTCTTTGAGATGCGCCTTGCCTCGCCTGAAATGTATGCGAGAGTAGGCGGCTGCAGTGAGGGGAGGAGTGAAAAAAGTGCAGGCAAGACGGACAGATCTCTCTTCTCGCAGTGGATCAGACACCTGTGAGATCAAAGACTGATATCACGGGATTCACACTAATGCACAGTGTTGCTAATAAACTGGATGTAATTTAAGTTCTGTTGTTTTTATATGAAAATATATATAATGAACAAGACACCCAAAGACAAAGTACTTGTTATTTGATTACATTCCAAATTTTACATTTCCAAATGTTTATCAATATTTTTTTCTTTAATACAGACATGTGTTTTTATATTGTTTTAATAAAAAGTAGTTCCCTTGATAGGACCATGGAGGCCGCGCCGGCGCCGCCCTGGCTTCCTGCACTGCCGGTGGCACCCACGCTCCATGACCCAGGTCCGCCCACGCCATGCCACGGCCCAGCCCCGTCAACGCCATGCCACGTCCCATGTCCTGTCCTCCTGCACGGGCCTGGCTCACCATCCCTCCCCCAAGACCGCCTCCGCTCCACCACCCTCCTTGAATGTTTTTTCTTTTGTTTGGGTGTCTGGAGCCACCCATAAAGGGGGGGATCTGTCACGATTTGGTCTTGTCTTGGTCAAGTTTCATGTTTTTGTGTCTTGTCATGTGATTCCACGTTTGTCATGTGATCCTGCCATGTTTCTTGTCATTGGTTAATCATCTGTTCATCTCATGTTTAATCTTGTTTGTAATAAACTGCACCTGGGATTTAGGTGATTAGAAGTCAGTTTAATTTTTACTATGTGACTTTAGCATACAAAATATATACACATAACACATATATCCCCTTATACTAACCCTACCCCTAAACCTACCCACCACAGAAAACCTTTTCCATTTTCTGAATAAAAACAAAAACAAAAAAAACAGTTTAGTTTTTTAAAGCCATTTAATTTATGAGGACACAGGAAGTGTCCTCATAAACCATGTTTACATTGTAATGCCCATGTCATGTGTCTGTTTAGGCATTAGATCATTCTTGGCTGCAGCTGTTCTTTCCTCTATTTTTTAGCATTTACGGGAACTCCTCTGGCCCAGAGAGCTTCCACATGTGTGATGTGTGCCATTTCTTGTATGTGTTCTGTCATTGTTTGGATTGTGTACCTGGTTGTGATGTACATGTGTTTTATAAAAGCATTATGGCATAAACTGTGTGGAGAATACGGAATATATGTAGGTTATGTATATGTATATGTATGTGTATATATTTTTCTTAACAGTCTTTACTAAAGCAATGACCTCCATGTGACATGAGCTGCTAGAACATCATAATCAACTCACAACCACAAAGGCAGAGAAAATTTCAGACTGCATATTACATCATACTCAGACATGGCAAGTTGATTGTAGGTTGTACACCTGCTGTAACCTCTACTAAGCCATAAGGTTCCACCTTTAGCCATAGTTCCATCTTTCATAAAAGTGCTCATAAATTTGGAAGAGAAGAGAAAGCCCTCCTCCTTCATTATCCCAAATATAAATAAAACTGTCAGAATATCCATCACATTTAATGCTCCTTAAATACACAACAGCCTTCATTATAACAATTTTAAACTTTAAATGAAGTCTGGTATAAACAGCCTCTGGATGTTTTTTTTATAGTTTCAGCAACAAATGCCATTAAAGTTTTCAGATACTCCACAGCTGCACTGACTTAAATATGACCACTTCCCCTCTCATTCAACACAGTTCTCCTTTACCTCAGGTCCTTTGTGATCCTGAGTTACTATAGTATGTTTATGTCTCAGTATGAAGGCTGTCTAAAAGCCTTGGACTAAAAGTCTCCAGTCCAGACAGAGTATGAAGCCTGCGGCTGCCTTGCAGCTTTCTTCCACTCATGGCTCATTTGCATCTTGCTAATTTCTCATGGACAGTAAGGGCCAAAACTCAATGGCCCATTCAGGAAGTCAGAGTCAGAGTAAGTTCAGTATCCAGCTGAGATCAAACACAGAACAGAAAAGCTTGGAGCTCAGGCTAAGGGGGATGAAGCACAGAAAGTCAAAATCACATGAAGCAGAAGATTGGAATAACTCCTCTCAATAACAACAATGACAGGCATTTATGTTTCACACAGTGTTTGAACATCCTTTAAAGCAAGAGATGAGGCTAACGATAATAGGATCCAACCATAGACCAGGGCACCTCGTGACAGCTAATGAAATAACGTATGTGAAATAACGTATTTCCATTTGCTTGGAAATATTAAAACAATTCCTTTGAGAAGACAACTGACTAGCTGTGTGGTTATCTCAAAGCTTCATTCCTCTATTCTGAGAGGGAAAAAATCATATGCTCCCTTTATTTTGAGTGTCTATACTACTACTAAAGTAGTTTATACTACTATAGACTAAGATTTAAATTATTAATTTGATACAATGCACTTACTGTGTACATACATGTTTTTACATTGTACTTATATATATATTTTTAATTCCTACATTTGATTACATCAGTAATTAATTTCTGTAATTACCCCTACCCCTTAACCTATTCATACCATGAAACCAGGTTCTAACCTTATCTGTGTTCCATCTCAATATAAGTGTTTTGCAATACAACATAAACACAATAAAGTACACTGTACCCAACATTATTTTTTGACGCAAGTACATTGTAGTTAAAGACACCCAATTTACTGTACACGGTGAACAAAAACATTAATATTATTGGACTATACTTACTATGCCCATCAGAACCAGGGGATTTCCGTCCTACGTGATTTGGCGATGGACACCTTGTCGTAACCGGCGGATGGTGGAGACTGTCATGACCTCTGGTGTCTGTTGTTTTGGTGACACTGATTTCATGCTTTCTTGCTGATCCATCTCCAGGACTCGGTGGCTCGCTCTTTCTGAAGGTGGTCTCTGGGAGTTTAGCACTGGCATGAGGAACAATGGTAGATGCTGCACGTGTGATGGGGGCAATGGTCTCCAGTGTCTTGCTAAAGGTGACTGAGTGCTTCTGCGTCTCAGGGGTCTTACTGTGGCCCAAGACATCTGGTCTTTTCAGCCCAAACCGGGCCGTTCCAGGACTAGGACACAATAACATTGTATCTTTTAGTTTAGCATTACATAATCTGAATTATACAACTGTTAGTTCTGATATTCTGATCTGATTGGACAAGAGTGCTCATATTACATATAACAGCACTAGGACTGTTTGTATTACTTTTTCACTGTTCACTTGTCCAGCACTATGTTTGTTGGCTGACCAGAAACTAAATGAAAACTGGTGTTTAAAATCTAAGTAACTCAAATAATATTTTCTGGTTTCTAAAACTGTTCAATGTGAGTCCAGAACTATTATACAAGTTTGTAATGTCATATGACTGTACAAAAATGTATGGTTAAATGTCATGAAGGTCCACTCCTAAACCTGACCTTCAGGGGAGCATAAGTAAATGGTACAAAAATGTACAAAGGAGATTGTACAAATTTGCCACAGTCTTTATTACTTTTATTTATATAAAATATTAAAGTTACATTTTAGACACAATATTTGCAGTTACTTTTTATATTTTTGCTTCACCGACAAATGTAGTTCTGTACAAAACCAAAACAGGATCAAAGTAGTTACAAAATCTAGTAACTGGCAGATATGTGAAAATTGCAACTATACTGTACTAGTTTATACCTGGGAGATCCTTCAATAGCTTTGCCGTTGTTGTTGGATGAGATGTCAAAGCCTAGCTCTGTCCTACGTGACACAGGTTCAGGGGTTCGTGCCTTGGGCCTCGAGGTGTCAGGGGGCTTGGTCCCATTGGAGCCCAGTTCGTAATACCTTCCACTGGTCGGAGACATGGCTGAACGCTGAACATTGGATGGTATTCGGCGTGTGTGAGGTGATGAAGAGTGTGAGGATGAGTCCACATCCTCCACTTCAAATGAGCGTTTCAGAGCTGGAGGAAAAGGTCAGATTGGAAAACTTTTAAGATTGGAATTTAGTGTGTTAAATTCCTAGATTTATCTTCTGTAGTCTCACACATATATAGCCAACCATCAAATTCTAGAGAAAGATTTGAGGTTTGAAATACAAATTATGTAATAATACAAAAGAAGCCATTCATTTGTACTCAAAACAACAATTATATTTTATAGTGTTAGAAAAGTAATGGAAGGCTGAGGGTATCCAGACTGTGAGGCAGGTCGGCCAAACCCACAGCAAACATTCTGCAAATGGTAAAAGTGACATGGTACACAGGGTGCACTTATCAGCACTGAAGAGTTATGAAACACCATTTCACTTTATAATGAATTTTCAGTTGGGTGGAACAGCCAAATTCAGTGCTCTGGCTAATGATTGGGCCTAAAACAGCAACAAAGTGTGAAGAAATACACTTTATTTTAGATATCAGTAAATGTAAAAGAAATTGTTTTATATCAACTCCTTGTAATTGTTTTATCCAAATTACTGGATAAAAAGCTGAGTGAATATGAGCAAAATCAACATGCACATTCATTCACAATGTACTGCAGTACTGCAAGTACAGCCACACCCTAACGCAGAGTACACAGTTTGCTTAAGGCCCCCCATCTCTGTTGCTCAAAAAAACTTTCATTGAATATTAACATAAACATAAATGTAAACATTAAAAATGCATTTTAGGGTGAACGCGGTATGTTTTGGCTGGCTGCAAATGATCATAATTGATGGACAACTATGTCCGGGAAAAGACAACAGCAGTCTGCTGCTAAGAAGTGAAAAAGAAAAAAAGCCCAAGATGAATCCTGTGCATCCCTTTCAGGTATGTTCACAAACGTGAAACTTTATATTTTTGTCTTTTTAAGTTAATGGGTGAGATTAAACATGTTTAACTCTGTTAATATTTTGATCACCATCAACTCATCTGTCTGATTTGATACTAATGCAATTTATGTCACGTAATTTCAATTATTTTAATGTGCATTGCGTTTTATACCATGGTAATTTGTAGGGCTATTTAGGGCTGTCATGATTCCTCGATTAAATTAAATTGCTTGATTTTTAAAAAATCCTTGATTGCAATGTACCTGTCAATTGACCAGCAAAATACCAGAAGTGGCACATTCCTCTGACGAGAATACATTAACCGCATTATTAGACAATTTTCTAAGGCTGGACGATATATTTGAAACTAAATTCCAAACAACAACAGTAGCCGTGTTTCCACTGTTGTGCGTGCCAATTCTGCTTAGGGCACCCATTTGGCCAGCAGCGGCCCTGATGTACTGTTTATCCTTGAAATAATTACTGGCAGCTAGTTCACCTTTTCTCAGAAGGTCCCATTTGAATTCCTTCTCTGGAGGTATTATTTTGCTTTACAAAACAAAAACGTGTCTGTCCTCATGAATCCACATCCTATACTAAAGACCATCACTTGGGTATGAGAGATTCAAAGATTTTCATAATATTTCAGGCAGACTGAAAGGCAATCGCAGACCAATTGTCAATCGTAGATCAAAATAATTGCAGATCATTTTCACTGTTCTATTTTTTTTTTTTTTTTTTTTGCCACACCTGCTAATAGCAAGTGATTTGTGAGGATAACTGACCACAGAAGGGAAAAGTACAAAAATTAACATTCTCCTATTTAAAGTTAGTCAAAGTTTAAAGACTTACTACAGTTGCAATGGATGTCTTTTATTTGAATCAAGCACATACTTCAGCTAGGAGTAGCGTTGTAACAGTTCTATGTTTAATCATGTTTACGCTTCTCAAATTTACCAAGTTCCCCAAAACTTGCATTCGCTGCTAGGTAAGTGTTATTTTGGACTTTATGTCTGTCTTTCCATGATTGGATGCTTCTCAAAATATTTCTCATTTTTTATGTATTTATTGTAAAGACACCTTAACCCTCTCAAGTTTTCTACTTGTGTTTTATCTCCATGGCCGCAACCATACAGTATGCACTAAGAACACTCTATACAAACAAAACATCATTTTGGTCGGATTCATTTTGGACAAGAAAACGTCTCTGGCTACTCACGTAACCGTAGTTCCCTGAGAGGAGGGAACGAGACATTACGTATGGGGAAATCCATTTTCCTCGAATCATGAAGTCTGATAGAATAACTCTTTTGCTTGCATTTAGCCAATGGCGGTCCCGCCATCACCTGATTGGCTGACACTGCTCAATATAGGTGACGGCGGGCGCCAAAAACCTCAGAATCTTAGCTGAACGAGAGTTAGGAGACTGAGAGTCCCTCCCACACGGCAGGTTACGTAATGTCTCGTTCCCTCCTCTCAGGGAACTACGGTTACGTGAGTAACCAGAGACGTTCCCTTATCGAGTCGGTCTCTCGACATTACGTATGGGGAACAATAAAACCCCCGCCGCGTGGGAAAAACCCCGCCCAGCTCTCAGGAACAGACACCGGACCTGGTTGAAACATCTATTGGCACAGAGCCAACTCGGCATCTGCACCAACGAAGGCCCCTCCCATCAAGCTAAGCACGCTGAACTGAATGGAGGGAGATTGCAGCAAAGTGATTGGTGCTTAGGAAAATACTGCCGGCTATGAATGCGGGCATAACAAAGGGCACAATATAGTGAACATGATAGCTATGCTAATAATAACTCGCACTGTCTGACGACTAGTCGAACCGTAGCTAGAGCGCGCGCCATCGGGGCAGTCTAGCCTAGTCCAACGACAGCTCAGCTTTCTCTCCCTGCACTGACAGACATGTGGTGCAAATGAAGGGATATTCAAGTTATAGAATCTCGCGAAGGTATTACGAGACGACCAACCTGCAGCGAAACAAATGTCTTGAATAGACATGCCTTTCGCCCACGCCCATGATGACGCCAAACTCCTAGTGGAGTGGGCGTGCACCCCTATAGGGAAACGGCTTCCCGGGAAGCTTTTTTATAAGCCAGCCAGTGCACAGCCTCCACTATCCAGTGAGATAGCCTCCGTTTCGACAGCGCGCCGCCTCTTGGCACCCGCGTAGCAGACGAAGAGCTGCTCTGAAGTTCGAAACTGGCTAGTTCTGTTCACATAAGCACGCAGGGCACGCATGGGGCACAAAGCATACTTCTGAGACTCTGAAACACTGACCTCATCCGGGCAAAATGCTGGAATTGTAACCACCTGGGCTCTGATGAATATACGCAGTAGATAATAGCCCCATAATAGCATAGCACCTCAGTAAACAACAAACACATAGCCGTAGCTACAACTGTGAGTAGACGAGTTAGCACAGAATAGCCAGTTGCACTGAAGGAAACGGGGCAACATGACAGCATAGCACATGTACGTAACAGCATCGGTCGCTGTAGCGCATCCATGCATGTACATAACGCAGCATAAGTCGCCGTAGCGACAGAACTGTGTAGAGACAGAAACTGAGATGTGCAGTTCGATCAGGATGGCTAGCTGCACGGAAACGGGGCAGCATTACAGCATAACACATGGTAAATTGCACATCCGTGTACGTACATACATCCAGAAACTGTGAGTATGCACGGTAGATTAAGATAGCTAGTTTTGCACTGAAAGAAACAGAGCAACAAAATAGCAACACACGTCCTTATACGTACATAAGTGCAGTGTAGTCGCTGTAGCGACAAACTGAATATGCAGTTAGATAGGATAGCTGGTTGTTGCACTGAATGATAGAGGGCAACATAACAGCATAACACATCAGTGTGCACATTTTAAACATCTGTGTGTATAATGCAGCTCAAGTCGCTGAAGCGACCGAAACTGCATGAATATGCATACACAATGGTCCATTACATTGAAGGGCAACATAACAGCATAACGCTTCAATATCTACACAGATGCAACGCAAGTCGCCGTAGCGACGACTGAGACTATGCACAAGCATAGTTACATTTTTGTGTACAAAAAACACAGCGTCAGAGGCATAGCGACATCGACTGTGAATACGTAGTTAATCGGAATAGCCGGCTGCACTGAGGATACAGGGCAATATATAACGGCATAAATCATAGGCACATATCAATGTACATAACACAGCGTCAGCGGCATAGCGACATCGACTGTGAATGCGTAGTTAATCGGAATAGCCGGTTGCACTGAGGATACAGGGCAATATATAACGGCATAAATCATAGACGCATATCAATGTACATAACACAGCATCAGTGGCATAGCGACATCGACTGTGAATACGTAGTTAATCAGAATAGCCGGTTGCACTGAGGATACAGGGCAATATATAACGGCATAAATCATAGACACATATCAATGTACAAAACACAGCATCTGTGGCATCGCGCAACAACTGTGACTACACAGTAAAAGAGTAGCCAGTTGCACTGAAGGATACAGGGCAATATATAGCGGCGTAATAGTTACACATATCAGTGCGTTGTGTGTACACAGCGTCAGTTGCATCGTACAACAATTGTGAATACGTAGTGATCAGAATAGCCATTTGCACTGAAGGATAGGGCAAAATATGACGGCATAGATCATAACACATATCAGTGTGTAGTGTGCACAAACACAGCGTCAGTTGCATCGCACGACAACTATGAATACGCACTGCGTAGTAATCAGGATAGCCATTTGCACTGAATGACACAGGGCAATATATAATGGCATAAATCATTACACATAACAGAGTGCGGTGTGTACGTAACACAGCGTCAGATGCATCGCGCACCAACTGTGAATACGTAGTAATCAGAATAGCCATTTGCACTGAATGACACAGGGCAATATATAAGGCATAAATCATTACACATATCAGTGTGCAGTGTGTACAGCGTCAGTTGCATCGCACGACAACTGTGAATACGTACTGCGTAGTAATCAGAATAGCCATTGCACTGAAGGATACAGGGCAATATACAACGGCAAATTCATATAGTGTGCAGTGTGTACGTAAACACAGTGTCAGTTGCACCGCGCAACAACTGTGAATACGTACTGCGTAGTAACCAGAATA